CAACCCACTTCTATAAGTCGAAAGGAGACTGCGACCATATCCGAGGCCACAACATCTTGGTCTTCACATCCTCAAATAGCTTTAGTCTCCACCGCGTCTTTCCAGTTTCTATCTGTAATATCATGTACATCACTTCCTACGTCCTAGTCTCTTGTGTGCCAATCCACAATTGTCGTGGTTCTACATGTTTTAATTAGACCTACTTAAGACTTCTCCTCTTTGTCTCCGATTGTTCCTGTGATCTCTTTTCCTAAAATTAAGAATATTACCTTGATCCAGTCGTCTTCTTTTTGCTGATCTTGCTGTTGCCTGGTCACCTCCAAGTCTGTTTAAGAAATTTGCAAAGTTTTCGCTGATCTTACCTTCTTCAAGTCTCCTGTTCATTAGATTTATTTCGGTCAGTATTTCGATGGCCTCTCGGGTCTTGCTTTTTCTCGTATTTTCACCATATCCAGCCAACATATGGGTCGATTTCCAGTCGATTCCATGCCACGTCCGTGCAATCTGTTCCGCTATTTCTGGTCTTTGTGTATCCATGTTCCTGCAGAGTCTTTGATGTTCCTTGATTCGTAGGCCGATTTCTCTTCCTGTTTTACTAATTTACTTCTGCTCACAGTTTCCGCATTTGATGCGATAAACCCCCGAACACCCAAGTTTATCCGTCTTCTCGTATTGCGTCGACAGACCCGTGAAAATTATTTTCTTCCCCTTTTTTATCACCTTGATATTCCATTTTCTTAATGAAGCTCTCAATTGTTGGCTCAGTTGTGATAAGGGCATTCAAATCCACTTTTGGTTGTTATCCTAATTCCTGATCTGATTTTCATAAAATTTAAGTTGAAATCGGCCCTTTATCAGCTCTAGATTTTTCTCTATAAATTCTCTGGGGTGTCCATGTCAGTTTGTCCAACTCTTCGTCCCAGAACTCATTGCCCGTTAGTCGTAAGCTTCTGATGATCAAACTCCTCAGTATTCCGATCTTCACTCTGTAGTTATGATGAGACTGGAAATTAAGGATTATTCCTGCATACGAATCCTTTCCTTATAGTTTTCTCATGAGTGTCCCTCTGGAGCGTATTACTTCAACATCCAGAAAGGGTAGTCGTTCATCTTCCTACACCTCCATTTTAAATTTAATTCTTTCATAAAGTTGGTTAATGAAATTAAGGAATTCATTTAGATTTTCCTTACCATGTGACCACACTGCAAAGTAGTCATCCAAGTATCGCATTAGCACTCTTGGTTGCAGTGGTGACTCGACCAATTCCATTTCG